TCTGGAAATTACTTCTCTCTACATTCTGAAACCATCTCATGTCACTGCGTTTGTGTGAGAATTTCCTCATAAATAAACCATCACACAGATTTTTGGTAACGCTTTATTTGAAGGGGTGTGCACAGCTGTTATGAACACGAAGGAGTCTTTGTGAATGTCTGTGACTGTTGTCATGAAGTGTCATTTGGTAAATAATTACCCTTTTAGTGCAAAGTTGACACTTTTAGAGGACTTTTAATGCAACATTTGGTGCAACTTTGCTTTAAAAGTGTCATTATTTACTGAGTCACACTTCATGACAACAGTTATAAACATTCATGAAGACTCCTTCGTGTTTATAACAGGTGGTATGTCATGTTTATGACAGTGTCACGTCAGTCTTTTACACACCTCACCAAATAAACCGTTAACAGATTTTCTCCTTTTCGCCTTAAAATTTTTGCATTTCACAATCTCAACATTTTAATCCTGACTTCCCTTCAGGATCCCCCACTGACCACATTGAAAAACAGATATACTGCCTCATAAAAGTATTCACACCCGTTGCAGATTTTCAAATTTGGTCACATTGCGACCCCCGACCTGGAGTCTGTTTTATTTGAACTACTACTGAGTGTAGCTTCCTGTTTTCCAATTTGCCGACTTCGTAAACAGAGTTCACCTGCGTGATATTTAATCTCAGTATATTTAGGGAACAAACAGCATCATAAAGACCAAGATTGTTTAAAAGAAAGTGGAAGGAAAAGAGGCATAAACTGTTCCTTTTTAAAATTTGCCCAAGGTAAGATGCAGCATCGTGATCGCAGATGTTATCATGTATCCGAAATGCTTTGTATGAAGCAGAATTAATACAAGTTGTCCACAGCTCTTTTTTTTTCTTTTCTTTTGTGGCACTGACTTGAAAACTGATCAGATTTTAGGGGAAGACTGATGGATCTCAATATACTGCAGCTGTAGAAGAAAACCCACCATCTTTGTGTCAAGTCATCTTCTGTCTGCAGAAGATGACTTGATACAAAAAAAATTACCTTTTAGCACAAAAATAAGCCTAAACATACAGCCGGAGCTACAAATTTGAAAAAGCTAAAATCAAAAAAATATATCCATTTGTTAGAATGGCCCAGTCAAAGTCTGGAACTACATTCACTTGTGAATCTGCTGCTGAACTCAGGTGTCCAGTCTTCCTGACCTTAGGAAGTTTTTTTTTGTGTGTGTGTTATTCAGGCAAATGTTCATTTTGATGCAACTGACAGTTTGCAGAGCTTGAGCTTAATGTCCTTAACTTGATATTGTGAGTGGAAATAATAGAGAAATATGGCTCGTTAACTAGGTGAGGGCAGTTTCTTCCTTACATATTGTTGAAATAATTATTTGGTTTTAAATTGCAGCATTAAGTTAAAAAGTCAATTCAAGATTAATGAACTTAAAAAACAATGTTTAAACAAGTCGTCTCTTGTTAAATTCACTTCATGAACTGTAAATCCTGCATTAAACCAAGAATTTTCTTGTTGGCCTAAATTGTATTTTCAAGGCAGCAGGTGGACTTTCATTTGCGAGGTAAACCACCTTCAAATGTTTTACAGTATGTATATCAGTTCTTTCAGCCAAATAGTTTTAGTTGCACTTAAGTGTTAAGCTTCACTGACTTCAGTATGGAGGAATACGGCAGGGTCAAAGGGGTACACGAAGCCTCTGTGGTGGCCTGTGGTCGGGTGCCAGTCTGGGCATCGTCAAGAAAGGGCCATCCCCGTGAGACAAGATATCACCATAGCCTGGTTGGCTGACAGCTTCAGAGGCCTTATTGAAAAATCAATGTCCATTTGCGCGTCCAGCTCACCTGGCCGTCTGCCAGCTCGGCTGAAGTCACCTAATGAAGCCTGATCCCGTTACCTGATTCCCGATTTTACTGAGTCAAAGTGACTTTGCAGCTGAAGTCATCGACACATCGGGGGCCTCAGATGTGAGTTCAACATGAACCGTGTGGCATGTTGATGTTGTTGTTTTGCATGATCCTGTTCTTTTTGATGTAGTACAGCGGCGGGCCACATCGATTGCTCAGCGAAAATCGGGAGAGCGGGTTGAGGACAGTCAGAACGAGACATCGCAGTCAACAAAGTCTTCAAAGTTTTGATTCTGCTGCGATCATGTAAGTGACCTGAACTGCCACTTATTGATGGACCAACGTTTGAGTTTCAATTATCCAAAGGAAGATGTAACTCCTTTGAAAAGCCTAAGCTATGATCAGAAATATAGTAATACCACAGAGACGGGGACAAATGCATCAATATGGCAAAGCTAAATATGGCAGGATACTGTCTTTCCAACTCTGTGATCGTATCAGCTTCAATAATGTTTAAATGAATGACAACCTCTCCAAAAATCAAAAAGTTTACTCCTTTCTTACAGAAGTGATTGTGGACCGACTTATTCCTATTACTGACAATAAATAACATTAAACTCTCACTTCAAGAAGCCCAGCAATCCCTTCAGCGTCATTTGAGAAAACACCTTCTCGTAATCACTCTGCTGTTTCAGCAGTTGGAAAACTTGGGCAACCCCTCGGCCGTAAAGCATACCATAAATGACTCACGCCGGGCTTGATTGCTCAAACCAAAATGCAGTCTGTTTCCTAGACTATACACTGTACAGTAGATTCTAGCTGTGGTCATCTTTTCTAGTTCTGTGGATGAAACCGCTGTAATATCGCTGCTGCGATTGAGGCTTTTCTTCCAGTCACTCCACTCACAGTTTACCATTAGATGGATGGAGGAACTACACTATGCTATTGTGCATTGTGATTCATTTTTAGCCCATGTGAAGACTGTGGTCTAATTGTGTCCGGGAAACCTTTGCTGTGTGTAAACACCAGGCCACTCTGACTGATCATTATGTTAAATGTCAGCTGGCTTGGAAGTTGTGGCTGTGGAGCAGCTGAGCTGCCCTTCCTCGGTGGATCACTTTTCTCTGTGAAGTTTCATCTATCCGTGGATGAAGGGCCGACGGCAGCAGCAGACGGGAATCCCTCGGTCTGCGATGGCAGTGCCCGTTCCTTGGTGGTAGAAAGCATCCATCTGTGAAACCCCCAATCAGAAATCCAACCCCACTCACTCTAGTGGGCAAGGGCAGTTGGTGGATCTGGCAGCAAGTGATTACCAGATATATAATCCCTCTCTGTCTGCCTTGGCAGAGCTTTCTTCTTTCCAGAAATAGAGAAGAAACAGGAGTTTTCATGACAAAGGCCAATCCCGGTGTAGGTACATGAAAGTTTCAGTCGTAGTGGGTAGGGAGGAAGGGAGTTAGGCGAGTTTTACTGAGGCTGAGGGAGAAGAATGATGAGAAAGGTGCTTGAGAGGGATAGGATAAAGGGGTGGACTGTCGAGCTCATGAACAGAGACAACACCGTCCAGAAGGGAGAGTACCCTGCCTTTAATGCAGCCAATGCTGGCAGCCATTACCAGAATGACGTATTCTGTCTGTGCACCTTGTCTGTCCCCAGTCTGACCCTGAACTCACTGGCCCCTGGTTCCACTCACTGTCGGAGAACTAGACACGAGCCAATGATGGGGAGACTCTGTGGAGTAGAAATTCTTATACATAGCTGTATATATATATATATATAGTATATATATATATATTGAGGGGTCTATACAACATTCCTGTACATACTGGGAATACCCGCTACCCCCCACCCCCTGCCCCCTGGTCGTCTGCTTCCCCAAGCACCATCCCTGCAGACTATATTCTCTTCCCCTGCTCTGTGTGATAGAGTCTTGCAGAGGGGGCTCTCTGTGTAATGCAATTTGGTTGATTAAAAGAAAACATTAAAGCACTAGCTTATTGAATTTGACGGCACGTACGAATCCGGATCTCACTGGCCACTCTGTTTTATTGGCTGGGAGAAAAGAGGATCACGTCATCCTCCTGCACCCCATCCCACCCCCACCCTCCACGGCCGACTCCGCACTGCCATGCACACCCGTTGGCCCCGCCTTCGCTCACCCCCTCCCACCCCCAAGCCACAGCCAGACAAACCTTGACAGGAGGACGTCCTGGCAGGACACACATTTGTTTACCTCCCACCCCAACTCAGCATGTTTCCATCTTCTTAACCTTTTTCCACACATTTTCACCTTGAACAGTCACAATTATCTGGGATTTTGCAGGAAGGATTATTTGCCATATTGTTCGCTGATACGTCAACTAAAAGTTGAGCAGACACGTCGCGCACAAACTTCGTACAAGTCATGTTTTTCGTAAGGATAAACAAGCTTGTAGGTTGCAAAAGGTTTCAACTCTTTCTTTCTTTCTCTGAAGTGACTCTGAGAAGCTGCTTCAAAGTCTTGTACTCCATAATTTAGCCTCAGACAGTGGGGGTGGGAGCCAAGATATAAGGCACTGGGAGGTAGCCTTCAGTGAATATCAAACAGCCAATCTCTTCAGTAGAGGCCAAATACACTCTCCGTTCACCATATTCAGTCCATATATTAGAGTTATGTTGATGGTCCCGCTCAATCTGTTTGTGTGTGGGGGGCAACAAAACAACTTTGGAAGGATTGGAAGTCCTGTATTTTAGATGACATCATCTGTGGCTACTTCAGTTACACTGCAAGAAATGAATAATAGCCCGCCGAGGATGATGTAATGTTTCAGCTCTAAGTTGGGCCACCAAATGTAGACTTTAATCCATATTTGCCTCGGCGTGTTGTTGATGCCAAAAACTTCATTACATCATTGAAAATTAGGTTTGTCCTCAGCAAGACAATGATACAAGACAGAAACTTTGTTCAAAGAATCTACATTAATCAGCCTAACACACACAAATACATGCACACACACACACACGCCTGCGCACGCACACACATGGACACACACACACGTAGTTTGTTTTTCTATCTTCACAAGGACTTTGCTTTGACATTCATTCAATTTTCATTAAATTTTACAGCCTAACTCTGACCCTTAACCTAAACATAACAATAACCAGTACACGCCTAACCCTAAACCTAACCTAAACTCAATTTATACCTTAATCCTAAGCCTACCTCATAACCCAAAAAACTGCACTTCTTAAGGGGTCTGGGCTTCGGACCTCATAAGGAGCAATCGGTCCTCACAATGTAGTATTTGTTGGAAAGATCATCCTTACACTGTATTAAATACAAGGCCACACACACACACACACACACACATGCACACCCACACACACACACATATACACAAGT